TTAATATAAATGAAAATTACACTAAAAACGATTAATTTTTAAAGGATAATGAGAACAGCAGAGAGATTAGTTTAAATCCTCATCGGCTTCAGTTGAGAATCACTGGTTTAGTACTACAAGTACTTGTAGTGGTATTGGCTTAACAGTATTTGCATATGTCACTCCTAACCGCTGTAAGATTACGTCATCCAAAAATTACAACTCTAAGGCGTCACAGTGCAGCAGTGTTATAATAAGGCCTGCTAAAATATATATGATCCGTCTTGTAAAACACGCAGACGATCACCCAAGATCGAGCAGGCTACGTCATTTACGAAGTTATACTCTTTCTAGTACAGTAGTACTGGCCTTGTCGATTATATTATGAGAGAGATCACTGAGGTAAATGGCAGGGCCTCGCCCACTAGATGTACATGTCTGCTTATGGTACTAAACTATAACAGACCCAAAAGTCAGATATTTAATGCATTCAGCCAACGACCGTTGAGCCACACCGCCGCGCCTTTCAGCCTATGAAAGCCGTAAAGCCGCCTTTGTATACGGTACCGTAAAGTGTTTCAGTACAGCAGTACGGTACGGTGGAAAACTAAAATACCGGTACTGTGCTGTCGTGCGACTGACTGAACTACATACAAAAACAAATTGTGACACGTAGCCCAAAAACAGTAAAATGAGAAAAATCTGGCTTGTAATATTCACCCGACCTGACAAAGGCGACTGAATTGCGAGAAGATAAAAAAAAAACATGCCGTCTGTCTATTCGCTTGCCTTATTTCATTTAAGTTGACCGGGGGAATCCCCAGTACTATTGCGAAGAGGAAAAAGGCGTTTTAATTTTTTTATCGCGTTTCTTTTAATTTATATATTTATCTGTGGATGTGTTGGTTCGTGCGTAAAAGAATTTTAGGTGAGTGAACACGTACTACTCTTCTTGGCAAAACGTTCCATTTTTATATTCCGTAAGCTTTAAACTTTGTCCAAGATTTTAATTGCTCTCCTGATTTCATAATCCTTTTTTTTTAATTTTTTTTCATCAATCATTTTATTACCTGTTATGCTTATTCTGAAGTCGAAATAAACTTCTGCTTATTTTATCTTCCCCTATTATAGAATTCCTTGATGATGGTTAAAAATTGTATTTTTTTGTTGAAAGGACCTTTCCCCGAGCATCGTCTTCCTTGTTTACTCCGTGACATTGGTCAATCAGCAAGATGAAAAAGTGACGTAACAATGCTCCCTTTTCGCATCCGCTCAGACACTTTTCTCACTCAGACAGATTTTCAAGCGTGGTCGTAAACATTATCTCGTAAGTATGAGAAGAATTTTTCGGGAGTCAAAGGTCGGGGAAGGTCCATTACTTTTATTTATTTCAAATATTTCTGTGAGCTCTGTGGGATTCATTTTTGTGTCCTATGACGTCATTAAAATTTGCGCACTTTGTGGTGGTTCTGCAAACATATAAGCAGATCTCGTGGTTAGCGAAAGTGAAGGTTTTTATGGGGAACTGTATAAGTTTATTTCGACTTCATAATCAGCATATCTTGCAATAAAATGGTTGATGAAAACCAAATACAGTAAAACTTATTATATAATCGGCAGAGAAAACAAAATCTTGAATATTGTTTGACACGTACAGATTTCAGATAGAAAGTTGTGGTTAAAAAAGTAGTACGCGTTCGCTCACCCAAAAGTATTAAATTAATTAAAGCACACACGCACACACACAAAAGACTGCGGTACCTGATCTGGTAATATGGAAGTGACTCGGATCAGGTTGCATACCTGCAGGTTTGGTACCGCATAAGATTTTTGGGAAATTGATAATAAAATATTTAGTTTTGATCTCCGTGTCCAAATATTTGAACATACCTTCCTCTTGTATTCGTGTTGTTATTACTTATCGATCTTAAGATCGGTAAGTATATTGATAGGTATTTGTCTGTATGTCTGTCTGTGTGTGTGTCTGTTAGATGCACGCGATATCTCACGAAAGCGAGATTGAATCTGCTCCAGATTTTGCATGTGCATTCATCTTATCTCGGACCAGAAGCCTATTGATTTTGGGCGAATTATGTCGTATAATTAGCGAGTTATCAATCAATTATTGATATAGTGATCTAGATTTTTGTAAAGCGAGAGAATTTTGAAACCCGCCGAGTGTGTGTGTGCGATGCGCAGTGCGCAAGTTACAAGAGCGGATGAATCGAAACTGCAGTTTCTGTTTTGGGGATCCCCTAACTATCGATCGATAAGTCTTCGGTTTCCAACCGATATTCTCGTATTTCTTCTTATTACCGTAAAAGTGCCTAACTTTGGTATGAAAAAAAATCGATTTTCTCATTCACGGGCTGCTTTGAAATTTGTAGTGGTTGAAGATTGTATATCTGTTTGGCTTTGGTTGGGTCGGTTTCCTGAAATAGCAGGTACCGAGGTAGCCCATATCAGAAAATCTGAAATGGGGTTAACAGCATAGTACCAGCGGTATGTTAGTCGTTGAGTACCAGACACTAGGGGAAACCCTCACCTTCTCTTGAGTGGTCTACTGTGCAGTCAACCTGACAAAGGTTCAACAGAATTTAAGAAAACAGATCAGAAAATTACTAGAATACCAAACACTAAAGCAAATCTTACTTAACACACCTTCTTTCGACAAGATCGGGTGCAACCTATGCGCCACAGTTAACGCCGCTCTTGCCGCGCAAATTCCATGCTTGCATCAATTAATTTAACCATTGTAATTATATATGTATATTGAAGTGTTTTTGTGTTTCATTAACTTTTTGTACTCACTAACCTGAATCAGCAAGCGGTGTAGGTGTCGCTGCCCGAAGACTTTGAGGTCCCTCGCGACTCCTGTCGCTGTCACACAAGTTAAATTCGCCTGGGTATTTGTAATATTTTTCTTGTAATACGTTTAAGCGTTGACGAATAAATGATAATTGATCGGTATATGTAAGCGTGTGTTTATTCTATGCATACACGTAAAGTTACTTTATTCGTTATTATGTAATATCGTAAGTAGTTAAAAGTGATAGGATGTAAATACTACTTCAATTTCCCTCTTATCTCTATTCAGACCGTGCCCCATCTGTTATCAGTAGTTTATTTTCTCACCATACTAAAAACACACTTGATATACAAATTTCATTAAATAATTAGAAAGCATATCAGGATCAGGGAAGCCGCGATAAACCAAATTTGGTTATCGAGCAGCGGCACCCATAAGAAAGTGGCACCCATAAGAAAGTTCAACAATAAAATAATAACAAAAAATCGAACTGTATATATCATTTGGAAAAAAATAACTACCTCAAGGCAAGCCCACCTGGTATGCCCAGCGCGTTTCAACAACAAAAACGACTACCATAATATGTGCCCTGTACGCCACCTTATCGGCTTTCCACTCTTGAATGAACATCCTATCCTATAATAATCCATGATGTACGCCAGCCCTAACCTACACAACAAGAGCCGGTGTTCCTCAAAGCTCATTTGAAAAAAGCGCTTCATACACCTATCGAAATTTCCACAAATACATCACAGACCATATTAAGTTCAAAACCACATGGCCTCAATTATTGCAATTTTTCTGATACTTTAGCCAACTATAATAATGCATAGTCCACGCCAGGTCTTACCTATAAAACAAGACTCAATGTTCCTCAAGGCTCATTTTTCAAAAAGTCGCTCATACACCTATATATCAAAGTTTCCACAAATACTTCTTATTCTAGAGTTCACAACCAAATGGCCACAATAATTTAAACTTTTCTGATACTTTAGTCAACTCACTTCTTTCTATATATGATATCTTTCTCATCATTAACTTTAGCGCAAATGCTTTACAACAGTCAAACATACTAAAATAATTACTACCAACGCAATGACGGGGAGGTTTTCGCGTAGGGCTAAAAGTGAGGAACTGCGCTTGGGGATAGTTATTGGCAAGAGGATTGCCTTTTGTCGTAGGGACAGCACGTAACCGCTGGTCGGGTACACATTCCTCCGCCATCAAGTCGATGCATCCGAATAAAAGAACTGTCAAAATATCCGCGTATTAGACACAGATCGATAGCCGGGTTAAAAGTCGTAGTTCGCTAAAGGCCGACAGACAACTCGACTACAGGACAACTCACCACAGTGAACTCGACTATAGAAAGGCCTGACTGAGCTTTCTTATCGGCGTCCCTCTTTCTGTAATAGCATGACGTTCAAATTTGCTTAACATATTACAAAACTATGAACCTCTTTAATAACAGACCCTGACTTTCTACATAACATAAAGCAAATCACTCCACTGATCTATATTCTTTGTCTATTAGAATTATGGAATAATTAAATATATACATAAACATACTTTAATAAGTTAATATATTCTATTACTAATTTAAAAAAAAACAAAAAAAAATTATGAGCCCGTTCACCAGCACACACACACACACACAAAAAAAAATACAAATCTAGTTTAACAATGCTTGGACCAGAAATAAACAAAAAAAGATCCGCGAATATATTGAACTTGCGGGCTGTCTTACTTATAAAGCACTCAAGCTAAAACAGTAATAATGACTAATTCAATCCTGTACTGTATATGTATAGACCTAATTTAAATGTCTTGAAAGGATGGAAATATAAATTCAATTTTCAAACTTTTTGAAAATTACACTTGTGAACAGCCTTCAAGTTGAAAATAAGACAAAGTTAAAAAAAATAAGTAGCATACTAGAGTCACTACTTGTGCCACTCGAAACATTACAAACCACAGCGGCAAGGTTCACACACTAAATTGTAAGACCTTAATCTAGTGGTCTCTTATATCCAGAGTACTATGAATATATATACTACTGCTACTACTACAGATCAAGAAAAACTTCAACAATATTCATACTCTTCATTCGCAATCAAAAAAGTTAATTACAAGAATATACAAAAAAATGGTTCGAAGGACTGTTTAGAGTACATACAAGTAATATGAAGATGCTCACGGTTATTAAATTAAATTTTAGAATAATTTTGCTTTTAAAAAATAAAATATATTTCATATAGGGCATAAGCGGGAATAAGCTTCATATGTATATAAGAATACATCGCGTTTGAATAGGATATTTTTTCTGGGCTATTATAAAAATTTTCAGTGTCAGTTATAAAAATGTATATATTACAGATATTTATGAACCAAGACCCTATTTATGAAGCCAAGGATTTCGACGTATAGGACTATAATTTTTAAGATATTCCTTTATAGTTTTGAACAACCCTGTTTCATATAATACCATCTTTATAATATAATAATAATTTATCACATTCACATACTATAAAAGATAAGAATATAATTATATTCTTAGACAAATATAATTCTAATTGGGTTGAATGTATTAGTGCCACGACATTTACCACATTCAATCCACCAACTTATCCTTTTCCGAAAAATTTACGTTTTTACAAGTACAAGGAGACCCCTAACTGAAACTTTTGGGTAATACCAAAAGTTGTAACATCAATGAAAGGAATATAAAAAAAAGCAATGCGTTTAATGAATCTGTTATAAAACATTTTTTTGGTCATCAAATTTAAAATATACTATATAAATGGTCTATACTTTATAAAAGCAAGTATTTTCACGCATAAAACTACGTGAATAATTTTGAAAATATGTTTTCAGTTTTGGATATTTTTACACAGATATAATATTTACCGGCAAGCATGAAAATTAAAAATCATTTTTTCTGGGTTAAAAGTATCGATGCCACCGACTACGCAACAATTACCACATTTAATCCACCAGCTTGTCATTGTTCAAAAGAATTACTTTTTCACAAGCACAGAGAAACAGCAATGCGAAGGAAACAAAACCCAGGTCATTTTGATCAGTCCAATAAGAACATAAATTTTGTGTCAACATCCTAAATTACTTCTAGGTACTGTCATATACAAACATAGGTTGAAGTGTTTAATAAATTTTCTTCATTATTATAAAGGGATATTAAAAAAATTATGTCCATTTTTTTTTCACCTGGTTATTTTAAAAAATCAGCCATATATTTCTTTTTGACCCACAATTTCCCTGATTTAGTTAACCATCACTTATGTATTGTTTGATAAATTGTTAAGATGTATACAAATAATGCATCAGGTATATATATATAAAGAAACATTCATAATTAACTGTGATAACAAAATTTTGGCCATTATTGCTTGAATAGACAATCCGAAATCTGCGATTCCATTCTCCATATCATTTCATCTTCGAACATTCTCAATCAAAAGATATATTTGCCCTGTTTTCAATGTCAGGTAAGTGGGTAATGTAGAAAAGTTATTTAGCCAATCACAAATCTCAAAATTTTAAAAATATTAACTCTTTATGCTCAAAGTAAAACAAATTGATAAATTTACAGAAATTTTTAGTAGAATGATTGAATTAAAATTTAATTTATACGTCCAAATGAATTGAATAAAATTTTACTGCATTACAAGATAAATATCCCACCATTCTGAATTTAAAAAAGTCGAGATAAATAAAATATGAATTCGTTTTAGAAGCCAAATGCTGCATAGCCGTTTCATGTGTTTTGGATCTACCATCACCCCATACTTCACATGGACATGGGCAAGTATATCCTTCGATTGTAGAACAATACTTACCCAGTCTTGTGAAAATCTGGTCTGAAAAGTAAAAATTCAATTATAGATTTGTAAAAACTGAAGTAAGAGAAAAGAAAGTATTTGACGATGTATATACAAAATATAAAAAGAAAGCGTTGTCGGCTTATTTTAATCAATTTTAAAGTTATTCGTTGCAAATTATTTCAAAGCTGCTCGTGTACCACCTGGAAAGCACTAGTGGTTCGCATACCACAGGTTGAGAACCACTGTCATGGAGACGAGAGTCTGAGTGTAGCATGTTTTATTGATATACGAGTCAAAAATGAAGACATACTTCAAGTTCACATACAACAGGTTTTACCATCAGGCATTTGCACCCGCAACTACACCCCGGACATTTGCACCTGCACACTTATGCACCAACACCGATGCAATGTACGTGGGTGCAAAGACAATGGAACCATTTCCAAACTACCCACAGCAGAAAATTTGAATTCTTTGGGAGTTTGAATTATAAACTTTCATTAATTGCGCTAACCGATTTTAAATTGACCAAGTTCTCAACAGACAAATGAAAGGAAGCTTGCGTAAGTCAAGGTTTTTGTGGTGATCAAGTTTCACCAAAGCTTGGGGTAGGAGTAAAAAGCCAGAGTCAAATTCAGGGGACAAGTAGTCTGGTGTGACGTTATTTTTTAATGGCTCCGAAATTAGCGTTGGGTTTGAATATTGTACAACTTCACAGCAGGGATGTGCAACCTACATACAGGAGGCACAAAAATTGTTCTTGATCTAGCTGTTGTAAAGTCAAAGGAATAGATAATAAATTGGACTCAGGTATAGGCTTCACAGCGCGAAGGGATTGGAATTACTCGCATGTACCAAATTAAAAAGAAACATCATCAGAATTAGCACTTCTCTGCGGGCCGCACAATTTTTTTTGATGGCCGCATTTGGCTTGTGTGCCACAGGTTGCACACTCCTGCTTCACAGGACTGGTGAACATTAACGAAAATCCAGATAATTTTTCACTCACCACCATTGTTAGGATGAGTAAGTTTTGATGGCTTTTTGAATCTTTTTTCTGCACATAGGACACTGTGTGATCGCCTGCGTGCATTGCATGCAGCAGCACATGTGTCCACATGGCACAAAAACCATGTCAGCAGGATTACTGAAACAGATTTTACACATTCTCTCTTCTTCTATCTTGTTCAGTTGAGCCTATATTGAATAAAAACAAGTTAGAGCCGGTTAGAACCGCCCTGCTGAAGTGAACAGGTTTCCATATAAATAAACACAATATTGAAGGGATTGAACTGCCTTGCAAAACGCTGAGGTGAAAATTAGGATAGGATTGACATGTTCATCCCGGGAAGAGGAGGAAAGCAGATGAAACAGCTCAATCCCATGTAGAACCACGGCCTCAAGTATGGGATCAGTTAGCCCAATATTTATTTTCAGAGACACGGAAATGGTGGTGGAGCGAGCCATAACCGACCCTGAAAACCCACACATGGTCCCGGGGTGACGAAACAAAAGGGCAAATGTTGAAATTGGAAAATATTACAGAGAAACAGTGCTTTGGGCTGGCATCTAATTATAATTGATACGAGAGGTCAAAAAACGATTATTTCAGTCTCCTTATTTTCTTGAAACAGATTTTTCAAGTTATGCCCTTTAGGGTGAAAGCGCTAGAATAGTCAAGGTCCGATAAGGCAAAACAGTCAAACTCTTAAGCCCACATCCCTGCTACATACTCACTTGTAATGAAACGGTAGTTTCCTCTTGTTCTTGCAATTGTTTGGCCGGTGTTTCTAAAAAAGAAAAAGTGACTCTGTTATTCATCCAACTGAGAATTCCCCAAAATAAGAAAAATTTCAATCTAACCATAAGGATCGAATACTGTGGGAGGAGAAAGATGATAATCCACCACGAACCACAGACTCTTGTCTTGTTACCAGTCAATGTCTGGAATGGGAATAGTTGACCAGTTATATATCTCCCAAAAGATCTTTCGACTCCCACATTATTTACTTAAATTCTAATTGAAAATCAATGAACCATGACCAGACAGAATAATCCCATCATAAATGATAAGTACCAATGCTGCACCTAATTGAAAATCAATGAACCATGACCAGACAGACGACGAAAGGTGCCAATGCTCCTATAAGGGGTCACATTAGCCTACATCTTAAATAAATCATGACCAGACAGAATAATCCTATCCTAAATGGTTTGATTGAAAATCGATGAAACATGACCGGGCAGAATAATCCCATCCTGAACAAAAGGTGCTGATGCTGCAAGGGGTAATTTACTTACATCTTAAATGAACCGTGACCAAGCATATTAATCCCACCTTTCACAAAAGATGCCAATGCTGCAAGGGGTCATTAGCCTAATAAATCATAACCCGACAGAATAATCCTATCTTACATGATCAATGAAACATGACAGGGCAGAATAATCCCATCCTGAACAAAAGGTGCTGATGCTGCAAGGGGTAATTTACGTGTACCTTAAATGAACCACAACCATCCGGAATAATCCTATCATAAACAAAAGGTATCAATGCTGCAAGGGGTAATTAACTTATATCTTAAATGAACCACAACCATGCAGAATAATCCCATCATAAACAAAAGGTACCAATGCTGCAAGGGATAATTTACTTATATCTTAAATGAACCACAACCATGCAGAATAATCCCATCATAAACAAAAGGTATCAATGCTGCAAGGGGTAATTAACTTATATCTTAAATGAACCACAACCATGCAGAATAATCCCATCATAAACAAAAAGTACCAATGCTGCAAGGGATAATTTACTTATATCTTAAATGAACCACAACCAAGCAGTATCATTCTATCATAAACAATAGATGCCCATGCTGCACTTGATTGATAATCAATGAACCAAGATCGGACAGAATAATCCCATCTTAATTGAAACTCAATGAACAATGACCAGGCAAAATAAACCCATCCTGAATGGAAGGTACCAATACTACAAGGGTTAATCCACTTGAAATCAACAAACCATGACCAAACAGAAGTCTCCACGAGACAATCCAACAACACTTCCAAAACTCAATTAACATATGAATTTACTCATATTTTCATTGAGAATCAATGAACCACAACCTGGCAGAATATCCCCAACTTAAACAAAAGGTGTTAATGCTGCAAGGATGCCTACCCTGATTGGATGATCCAGCAACACTTCCATACATATCCTGATCCATGGCTTCTTCATCTTCATTTTCACCAAATAATGAAACTTGATATTTTCCTGATCCTGGAGAAGGCCCAAGTGATGACATTGGTGTGGTTGCAGTGCTGTATACTGTGAAAAATATAAAGTTGGGGAAAAAACAATCAGAAATGGTTAACCATGGGATATAGTACAGTTACCATTAGTCCATCCTTACTATGTTGATCAAAGGTTTCCAAACACAATTACTTCTATTGAAACAAGCCACAATGCACTGTAAATTAAATTGTTCGAGGGCCACAATAGTGCCAAGAATAGGTAAATAGTGTAATACAATACATTTATCAAGCTAAAACATGCAAAAACCATCAAAAAATTTTACTAAAACCTGCAAAAGTCTTTCTATATCTACATTTAGTGTAACATTTTAAACTCTTCATAACGGGAAAATTGCTCAGCAAATGTACCAAGTGCTTTCGAACATCGATATGATTTTCAAAAACTTTGAAAATGTTCATCGCTCACAAGACTCTAAAATGCCGTTTTAAATTATACTTTTTGTCACCAGCACAACTTGTCAACATATCAAGCAAGCATTGTGGTATTTTCCTTCCCACATCCAGTTAAAAATCTGTTTGAATTTGTCAGCTTTCATTTCACCTGAAGAACCTGAGGGATATCCCATCGAAACTGCTCCTTGATTACTCGAAACAGCGTTCATTCTCCTGTCCCTTTCTTCCTGTTCTTCCCTTTGCAGTTCCTGTTCTTTCTTCATAACGTCGTCCAGTAATTCAGCGACTGAATCATAGATTTCTTGCGAGTTCGCTTCTGCGCCTGCCTCTAGTTTTTCTTCAAGAAGGATTCGAACCTAACAAGAAAAAATTCATTTTGGAAGTTTCATTTAATAAAAATAGACTAGATTTTTTAATTAGAATAGAGAAGAAAAACGATCATATGAACTTTGATGAGAGGCTCCCGTAGTACGTGTACCAGGTTAGGGTTAGGCCATAATTTTATTCCAATTTTCATTTTTTTAGTTCTTTTAAAAGTTCGGGGACTAGGCAAGTGTCTCGCGTAGTATTTGTACTTGAAATTATGGCCTACCCTGGTACACATACAACATTCTGGAGTCCGCTATCTTGGTTCACATACTTCGGGAGTACGTGTATTCCATGGGAGAGGAAAACCGATAAGTTGGCTTAAATATATGGTGTACCACAGTCTCTCGCCCTTTTACCAGTCCCAGTTTAAATGAGAATAGTTCATCCGTTATTTGTTTCGGATGCATAGATATTTGGAGTGGAGGAAGCCGTAACCAGAAAGCATGAGCCTGACCCTGTAAAGGGGATTATTCCAGCGAGGTTTTTGGTGGTTTTTGACGTTTTCGAATCTCCTTATCAACAGTCTTTATCTTATCTTTTTATCATTAGAGATTCAACTCACAATTCTTTCAGAGAATCCCATCCCCAGAACACTCTTCACAGCATCTGATTCTTTGATAACTTTTTCCACTTTCTCTTTTCTTTTCCTCATTTCCTCCTGTAAATAGTAAAAAAAAATTTTTAGTAAGTACGCAAGCATCTTTCAATTATTTCAACAATTAACTTTAAGTTTTGAGCTAAAATATGGCGACAGCTCTTTCTATTTATCTTCCATACTATATGTATTCGCTGAATGAATAGTGCTACTACTCCTTGTCCTCAGAGCATGGTTTGCTTGTTTCACATTTTACGTCCTTAATGCATCTGCTTTGAGAAAAGGGCAACGAAAAGAGAGTTCAGCGGGGGTAGTCGACGCGTGTTGAGATACCATGATGGCGCCCTGTTACATCATACGGATGTTACTATTGATACCTGATGTATGTGTTGGCTGAACGAAATAATCTTTTAAGGCTAATAAATTTGGACACTAGGTTAGACAGTTCGTAAGCGCATTCGTTCGAGTTTTGAGATAATCAAAGAATTTTAGTTCTGATGGTAGACAAAATAATACATTGTTAATACAGTAAAACTTTGAGTGCAGTGCAGTGTGTTACGCGGTCGGAATAAAAAACACTGAAGTGGAATGCAGTTAGTAAAAGGTTGAGAACCGCTGATACAGACCAATGAATGTTTAAGACAGACAAGAACACAAACCTGTGGGTCTATTATTGTTGGTGGGGGGCTTGGTTGTCTCACTCTGCTGACACTTGGTGGTATGTCATACGGTCTTGATGGTTGGTTACCTCCCTCTAGTGGTGACCCGTCTTGTCGAGCAATGATTGGACGAGCGAGATGTGGACTGAGAGACAAATGGCGATACACAAAATGTTGTCCTTTTACTTGCAATAAGAACTGACAGGTGGGAAACCATTTTGCATGTTCAATCCATGGCATGTCGTCATATTCCCAGTGCTAAAAATACAAAAAAGCATAAACCAAGCCCTTGGGGTTGACGATTATATTCTTTTACCCATTTACCCGATGTTGTCAGACCCAGTCAAGTCAGACAAACACTATAATTTGTACTGTGATGATAATGAAATTACACTTAAATTACCAAATATTTTTGAAAGTAGTTATAAAACAAGACTGGTTCTGGTTCAATCATCATGCTGGTATACTGGCGATTGCAAATTTTTGCAAGACCTGGTTCGTGCAACAGATTTAGGGTTTATCAAGGAAAGATAATTTCGGAAGCATGGATCTGTCAGTTCAGATTTAGGATGTATCACGGAGGAAAGTTGAGAGGATGAATAAATCATTAACTTCAAATAATTTTCAATTTAATTTCAATGCTAATTTCTCTATTCAATTAAAAATCACAAACGTCAGAGTCTGTCAGACCAATTTTGAACCTTATTTTCTTTAAATCCTTACTTCTCTTAATATATATATACCGGTAAATACTTTGAATGATTTTTGATTTTACCCTATTCTTTATTTTTTGAACAGTCAAATCAGACCTTCGTATTATCAAATATTTCAATTTTCCATTAAGTTAATAACAGCTGTGAGATTTTGACCACTCTCACTTATTGAGTTGAAAAAATTTAGTTTAAAAAACATTATTATGACTGCTATTTGTTCAGACTCCTAATAGTATTTAACTTAAATTTTCAAAAGGATGATAATGTGAACAAAAATTGACGTAAATTACTCGCAATTTATGACAAAAAAGGGAAATAAAATGCAATGTTTAATTAGAAATTGAAAATTGATTTGATAATTTGTTTGATCATACTATAGTATTTTCTGATGGATTCAACTCTATAATATAATCTTAAATTAAACTGGGGTTAGGTGGGATATCTCAAATAAAATTACTATAAAATTATTCACGTAACGAGTATTTTTAATGTACTTTGCCTCAAATAGGAGATTCAAAACAGCCTTCATTAACTTTTGCACTAAATAGTCTTGATAAAAGTTGAAAATGTATATGGATGTTTATTTTATTATCATAATGCTAAGAAAGAATCAATTTGTTTAAATTTTTCAATGATCCACAAATTTAAAGAGTATTTCAAATAACCGAACTTGATTTTGAAAGATTGCAATAATTAGAATATTAATGTGCGTATGTTGTATTATAAACCTAATCAATTTATTCATTATATTGCTAATCCACAGGTTCATTAAGTAATGATAAGGATAGCGATGACACTAAATCCAGCACTCCTGAGCCACATACCTGAAGTCCTCCGTTACAATACCAGCACTTCACCCGATCTCTCTCTCCTTCAAAATTTAAAATAATGACAAATTATTCGAACATAAAATTACATTCGAAAAAAACAATACTTTGTGAGCTTTTGGATATTTCGTATCCAAAAGCCAATTGTAGTTGTTGTTTTTTTTAATTAATTTTACCAGTGGTTTATTATATGTCATGGATTTTTTAGTTTGGAATCTTTAGATTACATATTTAATAATGTATTGTTTGTTAATCACTGAAGATTTAGTTTACAAACATTAATTTAAATGGCCTAGCAGCTAGATAGAGCCTAAATCCTCGCAAGTTAAAGAATCCAATGTAAATTATATGCCCACTACCGGGTGTGATTAAATTGGATAGGCCAGTGGTTCTCGAACTATGGGGCGTGTCCCTACAGAAAGCGAAAAAAAATTTTTTGGGGCGTGAAGCTAATTAAAAAAACAGATTTAATCTTGCTCGCCTTATTTTGTATATTTACGTGCTATCCACGTATTTTAAACATTTCTGAATAAAACATACTTTCATGTTATTATCTGGTATTTGTAGATGGGGCACGAGGCTCGACAAATTCCTGAAAGGGGTCGAGCGGGAGCAAGTTTAAGATTCCAATACAAACACTATGCTCATCGCCCGAAGTGTTGATTAAATTGGTTGGGCAATGTTGAACTGAAAAGATTTGGGTACTTACTAAAGGAGAGTGCCTTACATATCAACAGCTGCTTATGCAAAGACTTTTTTGGAATGAAAACATAACATGATAAAGTTTGAGGAAAACTAAGTTAGATAATAATTGACATAATTAAAATTATATTTTTATGCAAGTATGTTCGAAATAAAAAAGCAGCAAAAGCGGAAAAAGTAATGATAGAAAAATTACAATGAATGTTAGATGTTACCTAAAAAGAAAAATCCAGCTTGCGATATTTCTGCAGGAGTTGCAGCTGTTCTTCCCACCGGCCATCGACGATCAAAAGTATCTTGTCTTGCAACCTCATTTCTCATATGTGGATTGGATGGAAATCTGAGTAATATTTTTATATATATATTTTTATATTTACATATATATAACAAAGAATCTTGTCCAGGGTCTCTTCTTTATTCGGAAGGTTTAAGGTTCGAATCCAGATCAATGCATCTCTGTATAGTTTAAAGGTGATTCGAATCTATCAAACAAACCTTGTCCTTTCATTTTCCACTTTTTTTTCATTTCGTCATAAACTGAAACATCACATCACTCATATTCAATTTGGTTTCTAGTTAGTAAGAACTATATTATTGCACCAAAAGTGATTTTTCAAGAGTTTTGATAGCTACTGACATTAGAGAAGATGTTGCAGCTCCGAGTAGGTTTGAATTTGACGAAAAAAAATGCCAAATGGTTCTTTCAATGTCGCCGACCTGTAGCATACAGGATACTAAGATATTATATGTTGAACTGCAAGTGTATTTTCATGTTTCCTTAAACGGTGAATTTTGTTTTAAACTATTTTGAAAGCTTGTGAGTTGGAGCCACAACACAAGAATAAAGTTCGCCAATGTCAACGCAGAAAGCTGTGATTGATCAGAAAAGTTGTCTATTTTGACAAGTTAATAAAGACGAAAGTAGCATTCATTTTATTTTTGCGGCAACGCCAATTTTGGCGACTTTCATCATTTCCATGGGGTGTTTGCGCATTTTATTTTGAAAGGCTTTGAGCAAGCAGCAGTAATTTGGTGGTCGAACCATTTCACCAACTTTTTAAATTTTTAACTTTCAAACTTTTTTACTTTTCAAATTTTATTTTAAACATATTTTATGACAAGTTGTTACACATCGCACTAGATGAGCAAACAGAGCACAACTAATAGGTGCAGAGGCAAATTTTCAAAGAGCCGGGGGGTTCTGAAAGATCAAAACAGCTAGCGGGTCCGGCAGGACGCCGGAAAACGTGTGTTTTCATTAGTCATGAGGGTCTGAAAAGCGTTTCAAGCATCGAAAAATTGCTATGAAGTATACGGAAAGATGCTTTGATTTTTTTTACATTTCAAAAAGGGGGGTTTCGAACCCCAAAACCACCCCGTGGCTACATCGCTGAATAGGGATCTGATGATACGAAGTATGGTTTAGCATGTTTATACAGAAATACTTCCAGGCCTAGCTTTAATGTTTTTTATAGGCAATTTTCAAATTTTATGTGAATCAACTTGTGACAGTATGCTCCTACAGACGTTCATTTCCATTCAGGATGCAAACAAAAAAAACAGCAATCAGCATCCACAAATACTCACACAATAGGTGTATTTTACCTGCATGGATAATTTCTTGCTCTTTCATCTGGAGTATCAGGATATTCAGGGACTTTGATATTTCTCTGTTCTGTTCCAAGAACCATCGGACAGGCTGGGAAGTGACTTCTATGTTCATCCTTAACACAAATAGATATAACCTTTTTATAACCTAAATCAGTTTTTTTGTCAACTAGGCCCTCGGCTCCCCTAAGGACCTTTTAATCATATATTGTCATGCCTTGAATTACGTAAAATAGGGGTAACTGGTTGGGCACAATAGTGTACTACTCGGTGATGGCACCACTACAGTCTTGGAGGTGATGTAAGTCATAACTGACCAGAGGTACGTGAAATAGGAGGAACGCCAGCAATCCTCTCACACATAATTACTCTCCACAAGATTCAAACCGGCACAGGGGAATCAGGGGTGCAAAGGCAAGCGTTTCTAACACTTAGCACAATACCATTGGCCTAATAAGTCTACGGTAGAGACCCCTGATCTACACTAATCCGCAGCTGTTCTCAAACTTTTTAATTTCTGGTTGTTGACTGCACTGGACACATTCATCTAAACCAGGGGTTCCCAAACTTATTTGGCCGCGGGCCAAAATTTCAAGGCGAGCATACTCGTGGGCCAGTAAAGCAGAATGACCAAAAAATCGTGTAAAGGCTGGGGTTTTGAAAAATAGGCACCAAAATAGGCTGCAAGATTGATTTTAGATACACCCAGTATCGCAGTTTGTTATGTAATGAAATTCATAAGTATATTAGTTAGGTGATAGAATGAATACCCGAGGAATACCAAGCATGACTTTCAAAAAGGATTTGTAACTGATAGCTAATGAAGTTACTTGCTCATCTGGAGTACGCCTTCGTATGAACGTCTACTAATATCATAGTCAAGTTTATTTTTTCCATCCAGTAAAAATAACAAACGAAATTATGAAAAAAGTAAAATTGACACACATCTTACTGGGAAGGTAAATCGCTGGGAACTGATTATCAGGCAGCGACACCCAAGGTTTGATATCTAATTAAATTTGTAGTTGTGCCATTTATCCGAAAAACGCCAGTTTTCAGTGTCTAGTTTTCGTTTTTGTGACATCTTCAAGCTTCCTTAATATAGGGCTGATACGTGATACCTAAAAGACTGCCGTACGCAATCCTAATACCGGTACGTAAGATAAGATACCGGTATAATTGAATTGTTACGATATACACGTGCTTAAATTGTGATGATGACGTAACAATTGGCGGCATCTACGACGTAAAAGGATAAACACATTTAAATTTTAAACGTGTTAGTATTTATTCACGGTTATAGTTTCACTAATGTTCGGCGGGCCATTTGAAATCGCCTCGCGGGCCGTAATTGGCCTGCGGGCCGCGGTTTGGGAACCCCTGATCTAAACAGTGCTGTTCAACACTAGTAGGTGTGCAATAGCCACAGGGTCATCTTCGATTATAAAATGGACAGCTCTCCAGATGCCAAACAATGTGTTTTGAAGCTCTTTTCCTAACTAGATTCAAAAGCTGCTATAAATCGCTATTTCAGTCCAACTACTATTTGTCAGTCAAACTATATTTTAGGACAGAACTCAATCTATCATCTAAATCAGTCGTTTCAGACCTTTTAAGCAGCCCATTTTGTCAAGTCTCGTGCCCCAATTCAAAAATACCTAGCTAACAAAAAGCTACAAATAACAGATAGTAAGGCAAAGTGGATGGAACGTGAACATCCAAAAAAAGGGCAAGATCGAATCTAACAAATATTTTTATTTTTAATTAGCTTCACGCCCCCTCAAAAACTTGTATACTCCCCCTTTGTGGCCCACCATTTGAGAACCAATACTCTACAGCATTATTCTGAGTAAGAAGACTTACCATCGCATCATCTTCAAGTGTCCAATTCCTCAAAACTCCTCCACAAGAGAAGCATTGAGTTCTGTCCATGTCACCAAGATAGAAGAATCCTGTTCTGGCAAGAGCTGCCGGTGACACATTGGGCCGACCAACAGGCCATCGAGCAAATGATGCAAGTCTGATAAAATTTAAAAAATATTTTATTATCAAAATCAGGATTATCAAAAATAAAATGTACTAAACAGGATGGGCAATACACTCTATTTTTATTGATAACGGACCTATGGATCATTTTACTAAATTCTTGTAGTTGAGAGAAAAATGGCTTTTCTTCGGTGATGTCGATAAATATCAATGGATGTATGTGTGAAGAACATTTTAAACCAGTAGTTCTCAAACTTTCTAGGCCACATGCCCATTTTCAAAGTTATCAAGTCTCTACCTCATCTCAAAAATAAATATAGTAACTAAAAATAAGCTACAAATATAGATAGTAAGGTGAGAACATGTTTTATTCAAAAAACTGTCTACGCTCCTTGTGCGGAACGCTCACCGTTTGAAAACCACTCAGTGGCAGTACAGTAAAAGCCAGAAGCTTTTTAGTTTTATTGCTTGTGAAGAGTCTTGTTGGACACGAAGTGGACATAACGATCGTTTCTTCGAATACTGGACCAATTGCTTTGAAATTTTCAGTGGTTAAAGATAAAATTTTTCTCCAGAAGGCTATTATTTTTTTTATGACGTCATCAAAATTATTGCCATTGGGTGGCGCTACGTGTCCATATATTTGAGCATAGCTCTCTTGTTTAGAATCAAATGTTGATTGCAAATGCTCCGCCGAAGAATCTAATTGGCGGTTAACTTCCATATCTGGCTTGATAGGGTAACCATGCAATAGACTATGGATGGGTCACAATGAAATGCTTGAGCCATTGTGTTAGGTTCCTTCCCCCTTCCCCCAGATAAACATAAAAAAAAATGTTATCTCATCTCAAGACTTTATCTCACCTGTCAAGTTCTCTGTTCAAATGTAAATTAGTTAAAAATCTTCTGTGATCAGATGAAATAACATTTGCCATTCTCCATTGATTAGGAGGCATAGGAGCTTGTTGGACACCTGGTAGTCGCCCTCGAGTAGTACTAGGTCCATTTTGGATGTGGATCGTGTTGTTGGGACCGATTTGGAAGGTTCCGCCTAAAAATAAAAGTAGAATTGATATCTTTGATCACACAAACCAGTGTTGAGGAAGCTTGAGACATTATTTCGACTCGAATAACCATTTATCTGGACGTGCCTCAGATTAAGCACTGGTAAGACTTAACTAAGGAATTGAATTAGAATTAGGGAACGGCCTTTAGTCATGAATGGATTGCAACTTGGCTAGGCTCAAAATGTGACTTGGCTTGACTGAAAATGTGACTTGACTTGACTCCTTTTTATAAATTTATTATGGGGCCCCGTGAATAATAGTAAACCTGTTCACAGGCTCCATCTCCGTGACACCAAAGGTTTGAGAATCCCTGAATTAGTTATTTAGGTTTGTTTATTTTAATTTCCACTCCCAGTCAAATTTATTATCAATCCGGAGTTGTGTGTTACTGACAGTTAGTCAGGTAAGCTGTGCCATGAATCCCAATAAACCGAAGCAGCAAGCAAGCACACCGGACAAAGAGTTGGGTGAACAGCGCGGTCTACTCAGTTTATGGCACCTTAGATGAGGTGAAACCACTCTAAATACAACTCAGACACGATTGTGTTCATGAAATGAACATCACCATATGCTAATATATAACAAACCTTGTTGTCTGACTCTTTCTGGTAAATCAGCAGGAAATCTCACAGTTCTTGTAATTGCTCCAGTTGTAGGATCTCTCTGCTGCAGGACTTGTTCCTGTAAGAATTGCAAAATTTTAAATTCCTAGGATCATGGTGAACATGAGCTGCTCTAAAAAGGCTCTAAACAAGTAACAAGTTCCAGTTCAGTTTTTAAAATTTTTTGTACGTTTTTGTAAGGTATTTTGTATTTTTTCTCTGTTTATGCACGCTTTCGTAAAATAGTAGTCTCCATATTGGTACACACACTTCTGGAACGCCTTTGGCTGAACATATAATTATTTTCCCCAGGATAAATATGGACAACCTCAAGGATTTAGTAAAACGAGCAACTCCATGTTAAATAAAACATAAAAAAGGAGATAAAACAAAAACTTACACTTTGCCCACTGCTTGATGCTGCAGTGAAACGACCACCAGAGATATTAATTCCACTGAATAGATTTCGGATGGGAACATTTCCACAATCTTCTCCTCTTGGGAATGGACAACTTTCTCTGGAATTTTGTTAAGTGCATATTAGAGTATGGGCACATACATGGGGCATGCCCAAGGGGGTAGGGGGGTGCAGATCGGGACCCCCTTCCAAAATGTGAAGAAATAGCTCCCCTGGGGGATGGAAAACTTTCCCTAAAGATAAAATGCGTCGATTTTCACTCAGTTTTACAATATTTTAACATCTTGGGGCTCTTTAATGAAAAAGAGTTATCGTTGGAAGGGAATAAAAGATGCTTCAAAATTTTTTTGATTTTAACTGGAGTCGAAAAGGTAAAGTCTGAAGCAAAATATGAACAATTTTGAATATCTAATGGCAAGGTGGTTATAGCACTGGAAATAACTATGATAGCGTAGCAGATTATAATCTTGGGTATTAAATTCAATGCTCACCACTCCAACCAGGGGGGTTGACACTGCAAATATGAAATTTCAGTGTTTCCTGTATATAACAGCTTCTAAAATAAGTGTTGCTGCTTTCCAGAGGGTTATTAAGAGTAGAAATCCTCCATAAAAAAAGTGAGACTATAATAAATCATACTTATGCCATCTAATATCTGATGCATTGTCAGTATCATTCCATCGTTCTACTGTTCTTCCACAGGCAAAGCATTTCACTCGATCATAGAAGCCAGTGAAATAAAACCCTGATTTTGCCAAGGATTTTCTGCTTGTGGGGCAAGTAACAGGAAAATGCTCAAAAGTTGATAATCTGTATTGTTCTAGTCTGTTGTCTCCTAGAATACAATGAAGCTATCGTTACTTTATTGCTATGATTATATTTATAAAAGATTTTGTGGCACGAGCGCAGAAGTACTCCACGAGGGCCAGGAAAGAGTTTGAGGGGGGTCACAATGCTAGGCAAAAACTAATTTAACTTCTCCCCCTTACAAAAAAACTCCCCTTTCTTCCTAGTTTCATAGCTTGAAAAGGGTAGGCTATATCACAGATTGTTTTCACTTTGTTGAGCATGAACTGTTTGAACCTAAGTGGATTGAAATCTACCAATAGGTTGAGGTTTCCAACCGGGGGCCATTTTCTGCCCAGTGGGCCACAGAACAGTTTGAAGGGGGCCACAATGCCAGGCGCAAAACTAATTTCACCTTTCCCTTGACAAGTAAACTCCCCATTTTTCCCAGTTTCGTTATCTTACAGAGTGTTTTTATTTTGTTGAGCATGAATTGTAAGATTATGGGATTCGGGATCTACTAATCAAAATAACACTGCAATGATAAACAGTTGACAAAGGTGTCAAAAGCTATGGCCTGAACGCCATAATTTGCCCATCCCTTGATATGGAGCCCTGTTTGAGCATGTAATCATATAAAATAGTCTTTTGCGATGATGTTTACAAAAAAACTTCTGTGCAGCATACACTGTGTGATAGAGTAATAAAACAGCAAACAAAAAGAGTTCCATTTAAATGTCTGTATCTCTCTGTTACCTAGGCCTTTGTTGATTTACAACAACAATACATTGAGCAAAATTATATTCAAAAGAACCCTTTTTTTGCCAAAGGTGTTATATTACTAAGGTCAACTTATTTATTTTCGTATGGCTATTTGCTTTCATGTACCGGTAAATCATGTGTTGAAAAATGTAGCATGACACATAGGTACGATACTGAGCATAACACACGACGGATAAAACGCAATTCGGTAAACACAAAAGGTACAAAATTTAAGGTTTTGTTTGCTTCATTCATTCCTTAGTTTGTGTTTATCATTGCCTCAATAACAGCTATATTATCGCCTGTTATGCTGATTATAGGATGTTACATTACAATAACATAATTCACACCCGAGGAAAGTGATAAATAATTTCAAATAACTTCAAATCAAATAGATGTACTCAATAAAAGAATAGTAAAACATTCCCAAGCTACATTTTTGCAGTAATACGATTCTTGTTTTTCAAATTTTATTAAGTTTTCACCAAAAAAAGCTATTTTAAATCTCATTGTCTAAATGTAACACAAGAGTGTAATGCAAATTGCCATTGTCCAAAATGTAATACCGCCATATTTTAACATCAATCACGGACCCTCCCAGTTCGTTGAGTATAAAATTTGAGTGTTTTTTTTTTAATGAAAAATAACAAATAAAATAAATTGGTTACCTGGTGGAATATAAATACTTTGTTGCCCTGGTGGGTCTCTTGCATCGTCGGATACTCTGCCATCTGAAGCGACTTGGCGATATTGTTGGTACTGTCGTTGAGTGGACCTGTTGCGAGCATCTGAATAATAGAAAAGATATATAAACGCATATTAACTGAAGACATTTGAAAAAATTTTGTTGTGAAAAAGGACAAAATTTTATAGGCTATATTATTCGTATGTTGTATTGCTGATTACTAACAACTGAAAATTACTGAAGCTTTTCTAGGCAGAATGATGCTGTAATATTCTGGTCATTGATTTATAAATGAGGTCAAATCCAGCGTAAACGAAACACAAAAATTAATAACTACATTCCCTTAAGTGAAATTGTGAATTTTCACTTTTTGTTTTATCTTACTTCTGTGCTCTTAGAGATGGCTTTCATAAAATTATTTCAACTTCAATACTTTGAACTTTAGTCGAGTAGAACAGACGCTATTGACTTAATTATTTTTATTACAACGTGCCCAAACAAACAAAATGGTTTGTGTGGTAATAAAGCTGAAGACAAACCTTCAGGCTCCGGTGGTGCCAACAATAATTTTTCTCCGTTCTCAGAAAATATTATTGGTTGTGATGTGATAACACAATCTGGGTGTCCACTTATCGGGACTGGGTTTACAGTTTTGATATTCTTTTTCAAAATGAAAAGTTTTTGGGGCCGGAATTTTTGTTTTATTATTGCACTGAAGTAATGGGTAGGGAATTGTTTGTTCAATTTACGAATTATTCGTTTTATCTTCTCGGAGTTTAGAAGAGCATGGTTGATTGAGAATAAACAAAGCCTTTTATTATTTCCACGATTTTGTAAACGTTTCAACTCTCGTTCCAACGAATTTTTTGCCGTTTTTCGCTTTTTTTCTGTATTAACTCTCAAATAATCCACCAATACTTTGAAGTCGTTTTGATCGAGTTTTCTGGGTAGATTTTTGAGCCAATATGACATGATTCCAGGTGAGTATGATATAATGAATACAAATAACATTCTGAAGGTGTTTGTTAAGATATTTGAATTCCCTTTTTCCAAATTTATTCTTGGTTCTGAAAATATCTTAACATGTACATGCCTTTTACCATTTTTCTTGGTTCGGTTTTTGCGGTGCAATTTGTGCTTCACCTTTTTCATGCTTACGAACTTCTGACTAGCTGGTTTTGACGGGATGCCCAAGTCTCCATTTTTTTTTTGTGATATTTCAACCTTAGGTGGAGACTTTTGACTATTTTTAATGAGACTTTCACCATCAAGAAGATTTATTTTTTTGGTTTTACAATTTTCCATTATTTCAGAGCTTTTTCTCTTCCGAAATTGCACTGACGCTCCCTTTACCGTATTATTTGACTGTTCCATTTTAGAAACGCTGAGTGAAGTAGAGCTTGTTGGAGAGTTGTCATCAATGCCAGTTTGGTTGCCATCGTGATCATCGGGCCTTTTCAAAGCCTCTTTACCTTCATTTTGATGATCTGAATGAAATTTGGTTTCACCTTCACCGTTCATAATTTCTTCCTTTCCACTTTGACCCTTTAGAATTTCCTGGTCTTGATTTGGATCTTCAGGAGCTTCCTGGTCTCGAGTTTGACCCCTATGAACTTCCTGGTTTCGATGTTGATCTTCAGGAATTTCCTGGTCGTCATTTTGACATCTGGGAGTTTCTGGGCTTCCCTCACATTCATTTTGACTTTCTGTAAACAGTGTTCCTTTCCCTGGAGATTCATTTTCAAAAACTTGAAGTGAATGATCTGAACTATGTTTTGTCTCCGGGTGGTCGTTACTATCATTTGGAACTTTGATGCGACCTTTTTCATGCGGTATATCGGGTGGATCTGGACTTTCATCAACTTTTGCAACTGTTGACGGGTTGTCTTCATCTTGAGTATCTTTGAACGCTCTTCCCTCTTTTCGCTTGTTAGGCGAAAGAGTCGAATTTGGACATCGGTGTGTTGTTTGGGTGTCTCCATCCACGTCATCTTGGCACAGTCGTACTGTACGTCTTTCTTCTGAATCATTTCGCTCTATGCCTTTTTTTGGTTCGTGGGTTACAAAAGGACTCATGGTTTCTGTGTGGCTATAACAAAACTATTCAACCCAGATTGTGACCCTCGTATAATCAATATAAAAAATGTTTGTATTATGTCTGAAATGAATAGAAAGAAATTTAACATATAGTCTAAAGAGCTGCAATTGCCAACTATTTGGTGTTGGACCCAGCTGATGGGCATTATAGGCTAGGTCAGAAAGCGGGGCATGCGCCCGTGTTCTGGTGTTCACAACCGCATTTCGTGTCAATCGTAAGTTAATTTCCCGATTATAAGCTATTTTGGCACTGGTCCTTCCATTCCGTGACTCCGTCCAGATTGACTGGTACCGGTAATATGTAAATCGTATCCTACATGCCGTATGTACAGATGTAAGTAAGTTTAAAAATATCCACTATATCATTTGCATACATGCATATTTTCTAACAATCGTATTCAGGAACCATTGACTAATATAAACAAATACATTACTCCATAAAATATTTTCTAATGTGATTAATACAATTCATTAGTTTTTTTTTTGCTTGCTATTGCGTTCAAATATATATTTTTTTTTTTTATAGGATTTTTATTAAATAAAAATACTATTGCAATAAACAATATCGTTCAAAATCAAAAAAACAATAAATAACAATATCATTTCAGATCACTCTATACAGCTATAGGACATGCATTTTTTGGATTTTCATAAATTATAAAACATTATATAGCAGCAAACAATATTAATAAATTCCTTAAACCATTCCACAGATAATTTTGGATTTTATACATAAAAACATAGAAATAAATAAATAGTAATATTACTCAATAACACAGACATAAAGTATTTTTTCATAACATGAACATAACAGTTTTAATCAATTTATCTTACAGAATAAACATGAGAGAATTATTTTTTTTCTAAATCTCACACTTTTAAATATATATTAGGCTATATAAAGACTATAAACAAATTAGAACAAAAACACAGTTGTCAGGTTTAAGCTAAGTAATCAATGATTATATAAATAAACGCCATTTTGTATTATGTATCATGATTTTACCATTTTTCATTGCGATATATTTCTCATTGTTTCGAATATCAGAAATGAATTTATAAAAACATCAAAAACAGGTTTACGCTTTTGAATCCGACATCTATATATAAAGAAACGTGCAGCTAACAGCACACAGTTGATGAATTGCATATCAGAAATGTCATCGAAGCCAATAAAACATTCTATCATTCCAAGATTAAAATCCAAGTTATCGGTCTTAAAGACAATCCATTGGTCTATGTCAGACCAAAATTTACTGGTGATTGGACAATAATAAAATAAATGCAAAAGGGTTTCAATATGTAATTTACAGAATTCACAGAGGTTTGTTTCCAGTAGTCCGAATCCATATAAAACATTATTCAGAACTATAGCTTTATAAAAACAATCATTATTAACATTTATCATTAACAATCATAAACAATATTCAACAATTTATCATATCATATCAACATTTGTCATTAACAATATTCAACAATCATTAACAATATTCAACGACGACACCGCCACCATGTGTCAACCTTCCACCCTCTAAAATAAAAACGACGTATAATGGAAACAAGAGCGCTATGCTCAAATATATGCCCACGTAGCGCCACATAATTTTGATGACGTCATAGTAAAAAATAAAAGTAATAACCCTCTAGCAAAAAATACAATCTTTACTCACTGAAAATTTCAAAGCAATTGGTCAAGTAATCAAAGAGAAAAGCGATTTCTTTAAAACCATGCAAAGAACAAAAACAACATAATAATAAAAAACGATCGCTATGTTTACTATGTGTCCAATTACACACAAGAACATAATTTGCATAATATGCTGTCCCTTGAACATATTATGACTCATCCACCTACGCTGCTTGCTACGCTCTACTGTTGCTCGGGGATTGGAATGTACAAAATTTCATCAAGGGTGTGTGTCTGCGTGTACATTTGCGTCATGGAAATTTACCGTATTCTTGCAGAAGAGGCTCGTGCGGCAACCATTTGCGATACGGAAAGTAATTCGAGAGCAATATGACGACACGTTATGGACATTGCACAATGTTTAGTCGTTCAACTCATGTGCTCGTATGCTGTATTTTCATTTTTGTTAGTTCCGAGATAGTATACACACGTACAGACGTAAACGGTAGTCAACGCTTTATTAGAGTTTAAATGTTATTATTAATGTAACACTGATTAGCAGGGTTTTTAGTCGTTGCTAAAGTCAGCACCGTTGGCTGATTGATAGGATGGGGCTTTCAGACTTTAGTTTTGTTGATGGATTGGAAATCGAAAAACCAGTTCAACAATATCACAAGTCAAGGCAGCAAATGGGCTCAGTTAGTTAGTTCTATTATTTTCAATACAGGGATATGATTCAAGGAGAAGTACGTAACGGAACAAAATCTACGTTAACCACCCTGTGATGTATATGGGATCGTCTATCACAATTTTATCCTAGGTATCATTCAAGTCTTGGATTTTTTGTTGAAAACATGGAAATATACTGCGGTGGATGTGCTCGGAACTCTAAACGATGAATCTAAGGTATTTATTAGAAAAGTACAGTTAACTCATAGAGGACTCACTTAGAATTTGATACGGCCACTAGTACTTGATTGAAATAGGTTTGTGAATTATTTCAGAGTTGTTGTATTGTCTTCTTACTAAATATTTTTATTATTAACAATATTTCAGTTCTCATAATTTCATGTTTGGTAAAAATCAAAAATTGTTTATTCCGAAACGAGTACAAACTTAGAAATAGGGGTAAATTGTCGAAAACTCAGGAAAATGTCGGAATCACCATGTCAACGTCACGCCCCATTAATCGCCTGTTTCCGGCTATCGTTTTTCTCGAAGAGCTTCTCTCGTTTTCTACCGTACGCTCTACCAGGGGAATCACCGGGTTTTAGCGCTTCTGGATATTTCTCTCGAATTTGCTTCCTTGTTGCTACTTTCGAAGCGGTTAAATTCGTTTGAACCAAAGAGAAATAAATTTTGAATTTTATATTTAATCCTAAAGCGATAATGACAAATTTGAAGGCAAATAATCATACCACGAATTCGAACCTATGAATTTTGTCTGCTTAGCTCAACCATCACATAAAATACGCAAAGGTATAAAAATATTGTTGCTAAAAATTCCAAAAACGTCGTTGTTTTGAAAGTTTATGCAGAAATGCATCGCCCGAATAATAGCGTTACCGTACAAATTTATATATCACAGCTCTCTCCGCACTATCGCTGGAGACCCTTTTGGTAGCACGACTGCCTCCTTTTGTACCGATAAGACAGCCATAGCATAACAAAAAAATAAACTGTAATATAGTACAGAAAATCAAACAATTTTCCAATATAGATATTTATCTATAATATTTCACATTAAAAGACTTGTTTAGTTAAATATACATAAAGGCGTAAAATTACGTTGGTTTAAAATACTTCTCCGCTAACTTCTAAAAATTACTGTCAAATTACTTTACGAACAAAATTTTGGCATTTTCGTTTTATGCAATATGCTAAAACTGGTTTGCTCAGACCCTGTGATAAAACGACACGTCTCCGCTCGCAGCAGTTATGAATAGCTGCGGTTAAGCGTTGCTGACTGCTGTGTATGATTTTTCGCGCACAAGAATTATTCATGAGCTCACGTATTGTGTGATGGTTTCCGGGTCCACGCATCGTGATGCATAATGTAGATTGCGTTATTGTGTGTTCCTTTCCAGCATTTTTGCTTAATATTCGATTTATTATATTGAACATCTGAGCACAAATTCTTATATTTAAAATGATAAAAATTGTGCAAAAATGTTGTTGAAAGAATAACATATTGTTGGATAATTGTGAATACCAATTCGAAATTGCTTTTAGGATTAATGTTTTGTGTCTCATTTGAACCGATTTATTATATCTGTATTATTTCGTGGCTGTCTCGATGGTTCGCGATCTTGCAAGGTTTTATTGTAATGCGTTAAGTCAGCGCGATATTATTCACAATGAAGACTTTGGCCACTTTTGTGGTGAATTCCCTTAAGGTAGGATTCTGAAGCGTCATTTATTTTTATGAAGCCAATGACGAAACTTTCTGTTCCTCATTGTTTTACTTCCTCTCTGTCCTTCCGGCTTAGGATTCAAAAACTTCACATTTTGTGTAAAAAACTTCACATTTTGTGTTTTGCATAAAAATCATACTTTTTCAAATAAGCGAATCAAATGTTTCCCCGAATAATACTCCAGAATTGTGGTTCTCAAACTTTTCAAGCAGCGCCCCTAAAGCTACCGGTAACAGATATTAAGACAAAAATATGTTTTATTCAAAAAACACGTCGAATACGTGGATGGGACGTAAATGTACAAAATGATAAAATGTAAATATACAAAACGAGGCGGGTAAGATCAAATCTAGCGTCACGCCCCCCATCTACTTTGTGGCGCGCCCTACCGTTTTAGAAACACAGGTCTAGATACCACCTAATCAATTTGTTTCATCCATGGGTGCCGTGGTACGAATGGCCACCCTATAATTCTCCCCAACATTAACTTGAAAAAATCCTATTAAATGAAAGCATATAATTGTAGAAAAAATAATAAACCTTTTTCCGCATATATAAGTATTCACAAAGCACTTATACTTCATACAATTGATGTAACAAATGTCCTTCTCGTCTAACGTCGTACAACATATGCTAATCAAGTCGATCGAAAAGTTTTCTGGATTTTAAAAAGGGAAGTATTCAGTTCCTCATTTTTAGAGCAAGCTGATCTGTATCGTTAGTTATAGATGGAAAGTGGTTGCAGCGGTTGCTTCATCTACGACCCGTGCCAGGGTAAATAGAAGTGGTATTTCTTTGATAACGATAAGAATTACGTCAATCGATGTTGTGGTTCGCTCGCAAGCCCATCCGACCGCTCCGCGTGACCACTCGCCAGAACCGTATTTAGCCCAACGTGAGGTCGCCGCCGATGTAAACCGCGCGTGTAAGCGCTTCAGGTCAGTCCGTTCTGATGAAAGCAGACAAGATGTTAATCACATTCACACGAGTGAGGACAGCAAATAGCAATGATAGAAGTATTGATTTTTATTTAAAAAAAATTGATATAGTTCAGAATATAATTGAAGGATTCCACTTTGGGGCTAGAATTCATTTTGGCAATCAAGGTTGTACATAAGCAGTTCTGTGAGTCGAAATTGGTCGAATTTCCTCATTTAGCTATCCAACAGTGAGATGCATCGCAAGACTACTACAGGGTGAGTAATTTATATTTTTACTACACAATCACAAGGCATGAACAGCAAGTACAAAAGCATATCTAAGAATATGAAAAGAGCAAACTTTTTTTTCAGTCTTGAATCATTACGCTTATTACTTATAAAAATTAATTGAATAAACTTTTTCTTTGTCTAAAATTAAGTCGTCATATAGGCGGTTATTTAGGTTTGTGATACAGTATTACGTTTTGGGGCGTCTGATATTCATATAGTTGCC